TTAAAAAAAAATCACTGTAAAATACTACTAATTTTTACGTACTTATTTTTACGTTGCATTTATCTTTCTTACCTATACACAAGTCCAGTCTAGAGATGAGTGTTGATGTCCTTCAACATCTTTAAAACTTCCCCGCTTCACCCACTCACGCACATACCTCTACTTTTTTTTTTTTAATCCTCCCTTTCGACATGACGTCGCCTTCGTCTTCTTACCACCGCGCTGAGATACGGCCCAAGTTTACACCAGAGCCGAATCCCAGCACGGCGTAGCTTCCCCCGTTAGCCGAACCCTACTAGAGGGTCCGTTGCCCGGGTTGGACCATGTGGAGGTGGAGGTAGCCTACCTCCACCTCCACGACACCTGACACGTTCCAGACACCTGTAGCACTGAGGACCCTTATCAAGAATCCTCAGTCTACAGGAAGTCCACCCAACCCGGACTCGGCCTATGGCTGCCAGGCGATGAGCCAGCTTGAGGGGCACCTCGAACCTCGCATACCGCCCTTTAACGCCGACGTTCGTGCGGACCGTGATAGGTCCTGCATTCGGCGGCAATTCTCCATTCGGAGAATGGAGCTCAGTGCTTTGTGCACGTCCTGCTCATCCTGCCACCTACCACTACTGCTACCATTAAATCCAACGTCGTCTCGTTCCAAGCCGTACACGTTGACAGACACGTTAGGGTTTATCGCTCAAATATTTTAATTTGGAACACAGACGTGGGAAACACAAACCCCGTGAAATCATACCTGTGCTCCTCATTAAAATGTTTTTCATTAAAACGATATTTGTGTCCTCCCTTGACGTGTCTCGCTAAAATGGACCACTTGACATAAGACTGATTGTTATTCTGTGGATTGATTATTGCTTTTCTATGGTAAATTTCTGGTGAGACTGAAATATATGATGAACCGGCGAGAGGCGTATACTTATATACGCTGAGCATAAGATCGTCTATATGCGATAGAGAAAGGCCGTTACCCCTTCCCGAGTACGCGTCTTCCTCGTAGAGCATAACCTCAAAATCTTCATTGTCTACACACCCGATATCCGTAACGGATAGCAATGCCCTAGCGCGTATCTTAAAGGCACGGTCCTCGGGTGGTACTTTTGATCGCTGTATATGGTATGAGGCCTCCAAATTGAAATTGTACTTAATCGGGCAGTTACCAACGATTTCAGCGAGTCTGGTGATCAGACCGGATTTAAAGCCGCGTAGAAAATTACGATAGCTCGCAAAATAAACGGCCCCCCGCTCCAACGCGGTATCAATTTCAGTGAAATCGCTGGTATCAGTCAAATGCATACGTAATCTTTTTGATCTACCCGCGCTGTTTTAGCCCTACTACGCTTAGTCACCTGACGTAATGATGCAGATGTAAACGAGGTAGCTGTTTGATATTGGGAAAAAAACGGTAGATATTTTTTGTTATAGAATAGGTGGGGGGTGGTGCAGCGTAGGTTTTAAAAAAGAATAAAAAGCTCATAAAAAGAATACTGGGCGAATCGCATTTAACGTTCGATGAAATGTATTTCATGCTTACGCGCACTGAGGCTTGTCTGAACTCACGTCTTCTCACTCCTTTGTCTCTTTGTCCAACCGATTTAACTGTGCTAACTCCTAGTCATTTTTTAATTGGTGAAGCATTGACTGCATTACCAGAGAAAGATGTAAGCGATACTCTGTCAAATCGTTTAGACCGTTGGCGTAGAGTAAATAAGTTTTCTCAGCAAATATCTTGCTGGAGTAGCGAATATCTTTCACAACTTCAAACTCGCTACAAATGGGCAAAACAAAAGGGACCTAAACTGTCAGTCGGTTCCATTGTCTTAATAAAAGAAGAAAATCTCAGCCCTCTAGTCTACGATTGGGCCGAGTATTAAGTGTTATATGTGGTAAGGATGGCGTGATCCGCACAGCAAGGGTAAAAACAGCCTTTTGTGGTGAACTTACAAGCAGTTCGAAATTTAAGTCCATTGCCGATTGTCGGATTGATTTATTAAAATTTATTGTTTGTCAATTTAAATATTTTTGTAACCTGTTTGTTATTTTTGTTTTTATTAAATGTTGGTTTTTTTTTGCAATTTGTTTTGTGTTTTATATATACATATTTTTTGGTTTGTTAGATAAATTTTATATTGATTTTGATTAATCAAAGTGGGCGGCTTGTTTGATATTGAGAAAAAAATGGTAGATATTTTTTGTTATAGAATAGGTGGGGGGTGGTGCAGCGTAGGTTTTGTGTTTGTAAGTCAGTCGTAAACCGAACAACGAATGATGAGTCCGGCGCACCTACGCGTACCAACAGTTTTATTCGTATATGAAATGTAAAAGATACATAGTAAAAATACAGTCCATATTATTGACTAAAATAAAGTGTTTTTAGTCAAAATTTAAAATACCGTAAGCTACCAACCAGTAGCTTTAATAAAAAAAAAAAAGATTTATTTATTAAAATAATAAAAAAAAAATCTGAACTGAATAAATAGTAACAGTTAGTTTCGGCTATAAGGCATCTTAAGGTTATTGTATAAATAATAAAAAAACAATTAAAAAAAACACAAAATTAACATAAAAAAAAATGGTAGGGGTGGTAAAATTTAACAGATATAAAAGTATAATAAAATTAAAAATGTTAACAATTATAAAAATTTACATACCTGGTACAGATAACGTTTGCTGGTACATGACTTTTTTTTTGCGCGTGTAAAATATTAATAATAAATAAAATAAATTTAATAAATAAAAACCCAGCACAGGGGGGTCACGGCACAGTGGTGACGTGGCATAGTTGGATCAAGTATAATGATATCTGACAGTGATTAAAATCACTATCGAAAAAAAACGCTTCGATGCAAATCTTTAAATAGTGTTTAATTTAAAAAAATTGGTGGATTATTCCAAAAGCTTCATAAACTGCTAGTTCCTCATTAATATATTGATTAAGATAAAGTATGTCGTATGAAAAAGATCTATATAAATACTACTTCTCATAAAAAAGTTGTAATGATCCATACATTTTTCAAAAAGTTATAGCATAATAAAGTTAAAAATGTAAAATACAAAATCGAACATTTTCACACAATAATAGCATTTGGTAGCCATTTTCACCGTGAAGACAAAATAAAGTCCGATATTTTTTTTTTACATAATAAAGTAGATTACATTAGCTTTAATTTAATATATATATAAAAGTGTCAGACTTTCCGGAACACTTTCAAAATTTAA